ATTTTAGGATAATCTTTTTGAATGGCACTTTACTGTTAGAGGCCCTCCAGATTCAGATTTCGATGGAGGGATTTATCACGGGCGAATAGTACTACCACCTGAATATCCCATGAAACCACCCAGCATTATTTTGCTGACGGTAAGCATGTTTACTAGTTTTTCCTTTTTATGTGATCAATTTAATCATAGGTGTCTGAGAGAGAGATTCTTGGCATTTAAGGTAATGTTATTTTTGTAAGAAAGGTGCCATAGTGCAGTTAATGCTGCCAATTTAAGACCAGAAGTCTTCCAGGGTGGTGACTTTGGTGTTCTGTAATTACATGAAGCTTTGCACCTAATAAATGGAAATTTTCTCCAGGAGTAGTCACATTGCTGATGTGATTGTCTAACCTTTTGCTTTCTCCATGGGCTCTCTTGGTCTCTGTTGGAGACAGTGGTCACGTGTAGGAAGGCATACCTATGTTCTGGGGCAAAGGCCCACATTTGTGCAGAGTTTCGTAGAGCTAGAGCTTTTCAGGCTCTCTGCATGTGGTGTGTGGGTTACAGGAGAAGCAGGCAAGCCACCATATCACACTGGAACACGTGAGGTATCAGGTAAGGGTTTCTACATGGCAGACTTTGTTCAGAAAGCTGAATGCCAGTTTTGTGAGGTTGGCAGTAATATAATTATCAAGTATTGTTTGCATATAGATTTGTTTGATGATGATTTTTACAACTTGTACCAAAAATGAAGAGTTAACTTCCAGCACATTTTATTATATCCTTCTTCTTCCTTTGAAGGCCAATGGCAGGTTTGAAGTGGGGAAGAAAATTTGTTTAAGCATCTCAGGGCATCATCCTGAAACATGGCAGCCTTCATGGAGTAGTAAGTAACAATTATTTGGCAAATGCTACAGTTATCAAGCAACTAGATCTTTAAACTGAAAAAAAAATAAATCACAAAGAGTGTTTATAATGGAAAAGGAGACAGATTTTGAGGGAGTAAAAGTATGGGAGAATTTGAGAAATGTCAAGTGATGAAAGGGCAACATAGGAGGATTTGGGAATGGTATTTAATAAATGCAGAGTGAAAGGGTTGAAAAACTGAGAGGTGATGGTAAGCTCTTATTTATTTGGATGCACAACCATTAAGAATTCGCAGGCAACTTAGAGTATTCTTTAGTTTGTTGGGGTTTTTTTTAAAAATTATTCTTGTGAAAATGCTTTAAATCCTATTACTTTATCCCATTTTTGCATTATCACTAAAACCAGCTTAAATATTGATAGAGAGGAGTGTGGTTGGCTTTTAATTCTGATGCTGTACTTCTGAACACTCGAGGAAAGACAACGTGGTCTTGAGTTTAGCAAAACTCAATGTTTTCTACCTTTTTAAAAAAAGTTTCATTATCACAGAAATTGCAAGTTGGTTCACCCACGATTCACCCACGGCAATATTTCTGTGTTTATGTAATTTTAGTTTTGCTGAGTACACTACATAAATTATTTCTTTGGATATCAGCTGCACTTTTAAATTATGTTGACAAGATCTTAGGAATTTTCTAGAAGACCACTCTTTAGCTTTTGTTAGGTCTCTTTTTTTAGAGTAGAAAATACTGTCTTGCAAGTAGGAGTTGTAAATATCTTATCTCTATTTTGTGGTGCTTATCTTCATGTGATTTTTTTTTTTTTTCATGAATATACTAGCCAAGTGTCTTGAATTCTTAAATTTCATGACTATGTAAAACAAAATTGAAGGATAGTTGTCAAAAGAGATGTTTTAGATGACAATTCTGTTATGAACTGTAATCAGTATTTAAGTAAGCCCCTTTCTCAGCATGATGACATAAAAGGAACAAATTCCGCAGTGCATCACATAAAAGAAAATCACTGAACTTGCGTGTGCTGAAGTGCAGAGTTTGTGTCTAATAGGAAGATTGCCTTGTGAATCCTCCTCTTCTTTCCCTCCCTGTTTATATGTTAGTTCTGCCTTACCTTTTTTTCTTCAGAACCAATTTGTAAAGTTTGGAACTCTAATCTTTGTATTGACGAAACATTTTTGTGACAACTTGTCTTTTCTTCTCTGTGTTGGCTGATGGAAGGGTAAGGCCTTACCTTTCATTTATAATGTGTAGTTTAAAGAAAATGAAGAAGGCCTTACTGTGTACGAAAAAAAACCACTGCTGCTTGTTTGAAATTCAGACTAATCCTTTGGACAAAATGAAGTTTTGCAGGCAGAACTGCAACTTTTCTGTTGAGTGTAGAGTGAGATGAAATAACAGTTGTTTCTGCAACCCAGTTTGTATCTCTGTTTTCCCATTTTAGTAAGAACAGCTTTACTAGCGATTATTGGATTTATGCCAACCAAAGGTGAAGGAGCAATAGGATCTCTAGATTATACACCAGAAGAAAGAAGAGCTCTTGCAAAGAAGTAAGTACTAATTTTGTTACTATAGGTACATACATATGTACTGTCTTTCAGGGTAAGGCATTGAGTAGAAAGTCAGTCACTTCAGTCTGCTCTCTTGCATTTATTCCAAAGCTAAAAAAGTTCAATGCCTTCTCTCTATATATATGTCTTTTTTTTTCTCTGAACATTGTGTAAACTTCAAACTTAGAGTCAAATAAAATACTTCGAGAGGGCTGTGTGCCTTCCAGCACTGTGTGGTCAAATTAGAGGTTTGCCTGAAATTCAGGCTTAGAAATGTGATTAACGTTGTGATACAGTGGTAATTGCAGTGTGGAGGGAAAATGAATATGATGGAATTGATAATTAGTGTAAGTGGGGGAGAGAACAACCAAAACAATGATACATCATTTCCCTTTAGTAAATAATAATAATAAAACAATGACAGAAAATCTGAAGCAACTGCTTCTGAATGATTTTAAGGAAATTAACTTAGAATTAGATTTGTGACTATGGTGAAATGATTAGCTTAGTGGACAAGGAGAAAGCAGTGGATATTGTTTGTCTTGGCTTTAGCAAGGCTTTTGTGCTGTCTTCCTTAACATCCGCAAAGAAACTCATGAAGTACAGCCTAGGTAAGTGGGGACAGTAAGCTGGATTAGGAACTGACTCAGCTGCCTGGCTCAAAGGATTGTCGTAAATAGTACAAAGTCCAGTTGCAGGCCCGTCACTACTGGTGTACTCCAGGGGCTGGTACTGGGGCCAATGCTACTCAGTGTCACTAATGACCTGGATGATGGAGCAAGTTTGCAGACAGTACAAACTGGGAGAAGCGGCTGATACACCAGAAGGTTGTCCTGCCTTGCAGAGGAACCTCAATGGGCTGGAGGAACCTCATCAAGTTCAACAAAGAGAAAAGCAAAGTCCTGCCCCTAGGGAGGAGTAACGCCAGCTGACCATCTGGGAAGGAGCTTGGAAGGGGAGGACCTGGGGGTGCTGGTGGACACCAAAGTGATCATGAGGCAGCAGTGTGCCCTTGTGGCAAAGGTGGCTAATGATATCCTCTGCTGCGTTAGGAAGCACATTGCCAGCAGGTCGAGGGAAGTGATCCTTCCTCTGTACTGTGCACTGGTGAGATGTCTGGAGTGCTGGGCCCAGGTCAGGACTGTGTCCAGGTCAGGGTTCAAGAAAGATACAGACTTCCTGGAGTGAATCCAGTGCAGTGCCACGAAGGTGATTGAGGGACTGGAATGTATTTCATACAAGGAGAGGCTAAGAGAGACCATAGACTCTCATGTCAAGACTACTGGTCTTGACATCACTTGCCTTTCTGTAGGTTGTTTTGCAAATAGCTTGTTTAAACAAGGACACAAGAACATTAAGAGAACACGCTGTTCTGAGCTATGTCATTTGCGGCCAGGTCACAAATGTGTTCAGTCTGGAGAAGAGGAGGCTCAGGGGATCTTATCCTTGTGTACAAATATCTGGAAGGAAAGATGTGAAGAAGGCAGAGCCAGGCTCTTCTCAGTGGCACCCAGTGACAGGACAAGAGGCAACGGGCACAAACTGAAACCCACAAAATTCAGTCTGAATGCAAGAAAACACCTTTTTACTGTGGAGATAGTCAAAGCACTAGCACAGGTTGCCCAGAGGAGGTGGTGGAGTCTCATTTCTTGGAGGTATTAAAAATGTGACTGGAAACAGACCTGAGCAATGTGCTCTGCTTGACCCTGCTTTGAGCAAGGAGACTGGACTAAATGATCTCCAGGGGTCCCTCCCAGCCTCAGCTATTCTGTGATTATCCTTAAATGAAATCTTAGACCTGTGGGGGCTTTTTGGTCAGTCTTCTTTCCTCATCTGGGGAGGAGAAGGTACTTGAAAGACCATATCCCTATCTTATCAGCAAAGTTACTGTATTCCAAATTTTAACTAGTACCTTTTTTGCAGGCAGATGTGAGCTTTTTCTGCCTGTACGCTGAGCCAATTGGAAGCTGCAACTTTCCTGTTAGCATGGCACTGAGTCAAAGCTAATAAACCCTGCTCAGAGGTGGAGTTTAGTGGGTTGGTCTTAATACCATGCTGTCAAGACTGTGGTTTCTCATTGGCTTGGAGAGCTGCCTGCAGTGTGCCCTATAGATAAATCATGTGTGCAAGAGAGGAAAGGTAATGCTCTTGCAGAAGATGAAATTCCTGGATTTGAGGTGCAAGCTCCTGGGTCCAAATTAATATTTGTAATAATAGTTAGATCTTTATAATTCACAATTTAAATTTGCTGCAGATATAAAGTAAATTTTAAAATGGTAACAAATTATTAATAAAGTATCAATAGTAGCAATATGTAAGTCAGTTGTTAATATTTTTACTAAATGACATGAGAGAATATGTATTTGTAGAATAGGTAATTCTCAACATGTTTTTTCAAGATAGTGAGCGGGGGAAAATACTTCTAAGCTATTGGTCTTGACATCACTTGTCTTTCTGTAGATTGTTTTGCAAATAGCTTGTTTAAACAAGGACAAGAACATTAAGAGAACATGCTGTTCTGAGCTATGTCATTTGTGGCCAGGTCACAAGACTTCTGTTGTGAAATGTGTGGCACTTCTATGAAGACAGCCCTCTTACCACTAACGTCGGAAAGCATGTCAAGCCAGGCGGACAAGGAGGCTAAAGAACTCGCCAGACAAATTAGCTTCAAGGTGAAGTCACTCTTTTAAACTTTTATCTCTGTTGTATAGAATTAAAAAAAAAAATGATTGAAGAAAAACTTGTAAATTGCAGAAACCTTCATGATTTGATAAACCTTTATAAATCACTATATGGAAACCTATTTTTTTAGGACAGTCTGAAAAAGAGTGGATCTCTGACAGTGTGCCAGTTAATAAATTGTGCATCTCAAGCACTGATTGATTTGTTTTAATTTCAATGGTGAGCACTGTGGTAAGAACTGCCTAACTATGTGCTTTTACTTCCATGTTTTCAGTCACTAATAACTTGATTAAATTCTCCAGAATTCGTTTTATCATAAAAGTGTTAGGAAAATTTGGGCAAAGCTAACCTAAGTATTTTTTTTTTTCTTTGTGATTTTCTTTTATTTTTTCCTTTTGGCTTATGGAAGGAATAAAACATATTCCTACTGAAAAATCGTTGCAAATTCTTTTGAACTACTCTGCAGCTGAAGATACTGAAAGTTGAACTCTGGTATGGAAGTTGCTGTCACCCAAAAACGTGTTCTCTAGCTTGTGTTTCAGTGAAAGTAAGATTTGTGTAGTCAAATACGTGCCTTAGAAAACTGCATGTCTTGCATGCACAGTGGTGGTTTTCACTTGGTTTTCCACTAAACTCTTAAATCAGCCACTAAGGAAGACTGCTGTGCATGAGGGCAGGGAACTACAGTGAAATATATTATGACAACCTGGCATTGGTGCAGAATACATCCTCACTAAGGTCAGGGGTGCTAATATGTCGCCTTTTATCACCAATTCTCCTAACGCTGTCCTAAAGACTACTTCTTTTTTTGTGTGTGTGCCATGAGAGTAAAGATTGTCTCCTACTGAGCATTACTGCCAGCTTTGCAGGACCTACATATTCCGGTGCGATCTCACATCTAGACACATTGATGTGGTTGGGTCTGTGTGTAATCCTGCTTATGATTAAAACATCTCAAAATATTTTACAAAGATGAGGAGATACAGGGATAGTTTTAAAGTTGAGCTACTCAGAGGAGCAACAGACTACCTGCTCCTGGCTCTTTTACAGTATATAAGGGTTAAAAAGTGTAGGATTAATTTTTACTTAAGAACTGCTAATCTTCTTCACAGAAATTCTAGAAACATCAGAGTATAATTTATTTTTTTTTTTAGAAAGAACTCTTAACTTGCATTTCATACCTTTTTCAGTTTTAAAAAGTTTTTCAGTCTCTAAAGAATATTGGTGCTTTCCATGTATCCACATACTTACCTCCACCTCCTAAGAACGAGCACTCAGCAAGGGAAAAATGAACAAAAGCCTCAGGTTTCTACAACCTTTTACAATCCATTGTAGGGTTTTTACAAGGTAAATCAGTTCTATCTTCTGGTTGTGCCTTCCTTCCCTTTCTCAAATCAAATTTTAGGGATTGTTTATTTTTTTTCAGTTTCCTGCTTCTTTACTTTGCTTGACTTTGTTAGTGTGTGTTTGATTGATGTTAGGCTGAGGCATTCAATTAATATGTTTGTAGTAAACTAATAGTATGAATTACCAGCAGGGAATGCAAAAGTTTTTAATCATGTGGATATATTCCATATCAATTCATGGGATGAGATTTAATATCAGATTGCTGATTGATTGTGTAATTTGAGAGAGCCTCTTTGCTAGCAAACATACTAGCAAGCTCTGCATTATCTTGATTCTTAGAGATTTCCTAACTTTTTCTAGATGATCCTGGGTTTAAAAGAAATTATTTCATTCCAGCCTTAAGCAAAATGGTAACTTGTAAAAAAACCCCATGTGTGGTATTCAGAAAGGAATATGAAATTCAGGAGAAAAAAATAGCAAACCACATTTCCTCATTAATTTCCTTGCTTCTGTGAGCCCCCACCTTTGTTCCTGTTGATTTTAACAGAAAATTACTTCTTTTTTTCTAATCAGCTTTACATTGACTTGCAAATTGTTTTGTGCATTTTAGGTGCTATATACCATAAATTTCATTCCACTGATTACTAATAGCATATACATTACTGTAAAACAATATGGTTTATCTACATGTTGCCATCACAAGGCATATTTTGCAGTAAAATTAATTCTTCACTCACCCTCATTATTACATTTAAATATGTTCATCTTCTTTCCTTGACGTCTGTTCTCTTCAGCTTTTCTGGAAGCAGAGGTAAGGACTGGAGAAAAGAGAGACTAGGTGGCAAAAAAAAAAAATTTCCCTTTTGGGAACTTTCAAGTGCTTTATTTTTTTGAATGTTAGTTTGACTTCAGTCTAGCATACTGGACTTAGTACTTTTGTAAAATATGCTACAAAATGTACGTTTGATTTATGTGCTTTGTAGAGATGAACAGTAAAGATGAAATGAGCTCTTCTTGGAAAAAGCAGAAGTATGTAAGTTAGTGGTCACAGGTTCCAGGGAAGGAACTTACAACTGTTTATGGGAAAGGAGAATTCACCTTGCAGGTTGTGAAGTGCTGGAGGAAGATAACCAAAGAGAGCCTGTGGAATCTCCAGCTTTGGAGATACTCAAAACTTGACTGAACATGACTCTACTATGAGGAAGGAGTTGGACCAGGTGACATCTAGAGGCCCATTCCAGCATAAATTATTCCTAATCCTGTGTTGCTTTGTTGCTGGTCCGTATTTGAGTCGTAACTTGTCCTGTGTAACAGTAGAGTTCATAATAGTCAAGTGCAGAAGGAAAGCAGTGTTGTCAGATTATAAGTGGTTTTAAACGTTAAATTCATCTTCAGATTGTTTCAGTGACATACTTTTTGGATTCTCTTGAGATAATATACATCAAGAAACAGGGAATTTCATCACAAAAAAGAGAATCATGAAATAATATTTTTTGATCTTTTCAGCTTGTTATCACGATAACTGGTTGGTTTCCAATACACTGTTTGTATTTCTTACTGCTACTGCCACTACTTGTATCTGCATTTGAAGACTAGTATTCCATTTGGAATTGTCATCTTTATAGTAAATTGAGATCTAGATACGTGACTTGGGTGATGACTTGTTGAAAATTGATCTCGTGACTTTTTTTTTTAATATATGTATAAGTTTTAAAGTATTTCAGTTCAGGACTACGAAGCTATGTTCTTTTCCATTCCCAAGGGATTATTGCAGGCATTGTCGTGGTTTAACCTGGCTGTCAACCAAACACCACACAGCCGCTTGCTCACCCTCCCCCGCCCCTCGGGAATGGGGGAGAGAATCAAAGGGCAAAAGGGAAGGACACTCTTGGTTGAAATAAGAACAATTTAATAATTAAAATAAAGTAAAATTCAAAGTAATAATGATTTAAAAATAAAATGACAGTAATTTGGATAATAAAATCATAATAACATTTACAAACGAGTGATGCACAGTGCAATTGCTCACCACCTGCTGACCAACTCCCAGCCTGGCCCTGGCTAGCAATCCCAAAGAAGAAATCCTGAAACCACAATCCCAGAAAAGAGAGAGAGAGACTCGAAGAGCTTCCTGGCCAACCCACATCTATATACTGAGCATGATGTTGCATGATACAGAATATTCCATTGGCCAATTTGGGCCTCAATCTTAAACCTAAGCTCAAATCTTAAAATAGGAGTTGTGGGTCCTTTCTTCCAGCCGTGCTCCCTCCCAGCCTGTTGTGTACCTGCACACTGGCGAAACATGGGAAGTTGAAAAAGTCCTTGTGTATTAGGAACAGCTATAAATGTCAGTATGTTATCAACATTCTTCTCATACCAAATCCAAACCACAGTGCTCTTCTAGCTGTTAAGAAGAAAACTAACTCTATCTCAGCCAAAACCAGGACAGGCATATATACTGTTTTAACAAGAGGTTTGGTCATGATCTTCTACATGTCACTACTGATCTCTTTTCTCAAATTTCCAAAACCAGGAAACCTAAATTCTGGGAATTGATGCTTATTAGACATTTTATAAATGTGTACAAAAGCAGTATTATGAGACTTGTATTTTTTCTTTTGCTCTACTTGTGCTGAAATTTAAGTACTGGAAACTGAGGTATGCGTGCCTGACACAGTGTAGTGCCATGCGTATATGCCCACTCTGGCTGTGAGGCAACTTTGATCTCAGAACCAGTATAGCCAAATTAAATTAGTGCTTACTGGAGGCTGGTTAGTCCTGCTGAGAAACAGGCTGTATTAGTTCACTTGTAACAACAGTAGTCAGAATTCACATAACGACATGAGAAACAGGAGTTTTAAAAAATGGTGTTATTTCTGGATAATATTGTCCTAGATATTCTAAAGAATTTTCTTTTTTACTCTATACATCTGTGCATTTTTTGAATGTTATACCTGTTGTGTGCAAATAAACCTAAAATTGTTTTTTAAACTGATATTTGCACATCTATAGTCTCATTTCTAAAGAGTGTGAATTTCTTAAACTTGTGGATGTGTAACTGAAATGCAGTTGGCATACTTGATTATTACATTTCAGTGAGTCACATATTCTCCATACAGTAAAATACATGTTCCAAAACAAGCCAGATCTTTTTGGAGCAATTCTGATCTTGTCTCTAAAGTGTACGTATATACTCCTTGTAGGCAGAAGTCCATTCATCTAGGAAGTCTGGTGCTGGACCCTCAGACGTGTCAGAATTGAACCATTCTGCTGCTTCACATGAGCCTCAGCAGGATAGTGCAGCTAGAGCATTCCAGGATCCAACAAGTGCAACGGTATGGTCCATCTTTGAGCATTATCAGTGCAAGTACAGGCATAGTCTGAACATGGAATCGGTAGTTTTAAGCTGATTGGAGGCTTCGTTAAAAGTATGTAGTTCATACAGTTCTTCTAGAACTTTTACATACTTTTGTGTAAAATCTGTGTGTAAACTTTAGCAAATAGTATGCTGAATCGCTTTTACAAATAGCTCTCTCTTTGCTTTCACTTCCTTCTCTTAAAAACAATAAATGATGTTCTTTTAGCAATTCTTGTCCCCAGTAGTTTCTTTAGTGTATGGATTAACAGCTCATTAAAATATTATGGTGTCTGAAGTACTACAATTTACCATCTGCATAATGTATTACAGGTTTTTGCAATAGAATTTTTAGCCAGAGGCAAAAAAATGTTTCAGTGATAATTTGTAGCTTTTAAATACTAATTAAGGATATCTTCCTGGTTTTTATAACCTCTTAAATAAATCTGACTAAAATATTCTTACCATTTGAAGTATGACACTTATGTTTTAATACTACTAGGTGTAGGGCTTACGTAATGGTTTCAGAAGTGACCAAGGCCTGGTGGTGGGCCAAGGCAGCTGCTGTTATGACTGTGGCAAATGCAATCTAAATTCACTGATAAATTGCAGGCAAATCCCAGCTAAGCTGTCTTTTTTAGAGAGGATGGGGCTGCAGATTGTTTAAAAAAACCCAAATACGTCAAATAACGTCAGACCATCTGTTGTGTGTTTGCAACATATTTTCAAGCTATGTAGAAATATAAACATGCTAATAGCATACTATTCTTCCCCACTATAAGGATTTTTCCAGATTGTTCAGGATTTAATAAACCATTTTGCTTTATTCTTCTTATTACAAATCCTGGCTAATATAGTAGAACTAGCCGCAATACCAAGGCATTGCTAGCATTTTCTTGAGGAAAAAGAGACTAAGTTTTTTTGATTAATCACATTTCTAAGAAAATTTTTTTAATGAATGATGCTGATTTAATAAGTAATGATCAATTTAATTTTCAGCAGAACAGTCCTATGTGAAATGAGACCTTTAAACATATAAACATATGTAAAAATATTTATATGTGATAAACCTTAAATGATGAAAAGTAGATTCATGTTTTAAGGGATCAGACTGTCACACTCATGATTGTTACTCTGAGTTTGAAGCAATGCCTGTGTTTTTGAGCTGCCACATTTTGAACGTTAGGAATTTTTCTGGAGCTACTGGGAAGTGAAGCAGCCGTACAGTGGAAGAAAGAAATGTGTAACAGGAAAGACTATTTTAAAGAACTTGAGCTTGATATTTTTGTTTTCTCATTTATGAAGAAGTTAATAGAAATCTTCTCAAAGTAGGGAGGCGGAGGCCTTGATCTGCTAATAGATGTGAAAGAGTATCCCTGCAAACCTCAGACCCTTTCCACTCAGCTGGTCTTCTTACATGTGTAAAATCAGTTTGTTGGGTTAGTGTTATGCAAGGACCTAATTCTACTGTACTAATTTGTAAGTCTTAAATGTGGGCAACATCAAAACTATTTTTTTCTCAAGTACAGTGTTCACCACTTACTGTACAAATGTGTGTTTAATTAAAAGCTATTGTAGAAAATTTGCTGTTGTGAACTTGAAGTTTATGCCCTTTGAGAATGAAAAGGGCAGAGGTAGATTCAGTGCTGAATCCTTGTATTAGCTTGTGTAATTCCTTCTGGTATAGTATATTTAATGAGCCTAACTCTGAAGTCATGGGACCTTACGTCCTGCTACACAATTCATGGGGAAAAAAATAACAGTAATCATGCAGGAAGAATGGAGTGTTACTTTTCTTTTGCTCTTGGAACAGTTGTAACCAGTCTTCATTAAAAACATGATGGTAGAAGGTGAAGAAGAGGGAATCTGTAGGCTATGTTTTACTATGGGAAAACCAATCTACAGGCTGCTTCATGGACAAGTTTGTTCTTTCTAGCGACAATTGTCTTTTCCATGATTTTTACCCTTAACTTGCTTGAAAGGACAGAGGTTTTTGCAATGAATTAATGGCAGGACAATTGTGAGTACAGTGATACACTTCCTGGGATAGATTTAACTGAATTCTTGTGTGAAAAGCACACTGAAATGGGCCTCTGGCGTGGCATCGCTTTGATTCCATTCCCTCTGTTCCACACGGGGCGTTATTCCTGAAGAGAGAATTTCTCGTTCCATCAGAAGAAAAAATATTTTGAATTAACTTTCCTTTCTGTCAGCTTTCACTTAGAAAACGGAATATAGCCTCAATGACTAAAGAAGCACCAAGATTTACAGTATATCAGCAAAGCATATTTTTTTACAGGTCAAATCTCCTAAAGGGGGCCTACAAGAAAGCTGGAGAGGAACTTTTTACAAGCGTATATAGTGATAAGACAAGGGGCAATGGCTTTAAAGAGGGCAGATTTAGATTAGATATAAGGAAGAAATTTTTTACATTGAGGGTGGTGAGACACTGGAACAGGTTGCCCAGAGAAGTTGTGGATGCCGCATCCCTGGAAGTGTTCAAGGCCAGGCTGGATGAGGCTTTGAGCAACCTGGTGTAGTGGAGGGTTTCCCTGCCCATTGCAGGGGGGGTTGGAACTAGATGATCTTTGAGGTCCCTTCCAACCCAAACCACTCTATGATTCTATGAATAGTAGTTTGTGTTTTAGTAATGGCAATGGTTGTATTAACAGCAATGCTGTTGTAGTTTGAACTGTTGTGTTATTCAGTACTTTAGTCTTACAGGTTTTTGCCTGTGAAGAGACTTACTGTGTAATGTAATTGTTGCGTGGGTGTGTTTGTCTATATTGTTGGAGAGGTGCACTCCATGTTCTGGACTTTTGGGCTTTCACTGCCTGACCTCATCTTCTAGGTCATTTCCCTCCCTTCCTCTCTCCCTCCTTCCTCTTAACTTTTTACCAGACCAGCAGTGAGTATCTTGATGCCACAGTTAAAATTACTACAGTGTCCACTTTGATCTGCTCTTTAGCTGAAGACTAAATACTTTCCCAGTGCAATGTTGAAAGTGTATTTCCTGAGTTCCTGCTGTTTAAAAAGCAGACAGAGGAGTAGAGGTTGTCTCTCCAGTGCAGCATGTGGTGATGATGAAGATGACTTTTCTCCATGCTTTTCGCCTAGTGCTGTGTACTTTTCATCAAGACCTGCTCATTGGTAGGTCCCGTTAATGGCCCTGTTAGCAATGACTGAAGTGCAGCGCCAGTGCAAACATTGCACATTGGCTGTTAACATTTTTGTACCTATATATTAGAGAATATTTATCAAATATTTCAATGACTTATCTTTGAATGAAGAAAAAAGAGGGGAAGGAGTTGATTCTCACACCAGTGATAGTTACTTCCCAGGAGAGCTTGTCATAATATTATTGAGGTTTGCAGGTGCAAGGCAATGAGTACAACAGCGTGAAAACAATAAAAGGAACAATGCTGCCGTGGAGGCTCTGGAAAACGCTGCCACAGCAGCCTGAGTAAAAGGATGCAGAGCTGCAAAGAACAGGCTTTTTAAGCATTATTCGAGGCTAAAACAATAGGCTACCTAAAGCCTTGTGCAGCATAGTACTTCTGAGGAGTCTGAAGCTGATGCAGAAAACACCTCTGACTAGACTACTTCTGGCAATATATACACATACATCTTTTTTTTTCTTAAATTTGTAATAACTGTTGACATCTACTCAAGGTAAAGTAATGGTACATTACTCCTATTGTAGTATTCAAATTGCAAGCAACTGCTGGAGGTTGGCTTGATAAAAGTAATTGCCCCTAGCATCAAGAAAATCAGATTCTTCCACATCTGAGCAAAACAATGTTTTTTAATGAGTAAATTGTAGATACTCAGGTCCAGATTAAGTCACCTACTATGCCAGTGGTAACCTAAAAGTTGGTACCAAAACTCTCGTCACAGTCTGTGGGACTAGTTAGTGGAGGCTGAAGAGCACTACAACGCACTGAGCAACAGAGGCTGGTAGGCTACATTGCTCTGTCTTGTTCCCCTGATTGCACTGACTAAATCCACATGGACTATTATGGGAGTCTAAACTCCTACCATGCCTGTAGCAACCTACTTTTAGCGTATTGACATGGAATGATGTCCCACCTTGGTGCTTACAGTTAATGAATATAAGTGATACTTGATAAGCATTATAAAGTGACAAGCTAAAAACTGTGGTTAGACTATTTTTATGATAACCTGGGAATATATTAAACCTCAGTACACTTGTTATTAAACAATATACTGTAGTAGTGTCCTGCACTAATATACTGGCTAGATGAAGCATTTCAATGAGGAGTGTAACTGAAGTCATCTAATCTTGAACTGATGAGGGAGGTTTTTGTGAGAAGACGATGCTATGTTCTGATGCATGAGATTTATAGAAGCCCTTAATCATGTGTGTTCTGAATGATATATTGTTAAAAAGTGTTTCCTTTTATCACTATTAAGTGGTGTCTTAAGATTCGTGCAGTATTCTGTAGCAACAATTTTAAATGTCTTGGCAATCAGGAGTGCTTGGCCCGACTTTGATTCATTAAAAAATAGACATATTTCTTATTAACCTTTAAGCCATACTGTGTCAAACTTCAGCTGTTTTTCAGTTGGAGGTTTTATGGATAAACAAGTATTTCACCTGTCCTTATATTTTCATATTTCTGTGTCTCTCTGAGATCATGAATATGACTGAAAGAGGCTTCAGTAACCCAGAGGATGTATATGCTTCTGAGTTCCTAGAGTTTGCTATGTTTTTTTAAAGCATCCCTTCTAAGATGTTTATTTAAGATTTCCAGCATTCTGATAAAAATTTTTAAAATAACTTGGAGACATAAGTGATGCAGTGAATGGTACCATTCTTCAGTAGACTGAACATAGTGTAAATTTCCTTACTTGCATTTTGTTATATGATAGAACTTTTTGTTTATTCTAAAATGTGTACATTTTACTAACTAGCCTTATTTATCAAACTCAGATGTCCTTGGAGCAAAGTTTTCTACCAGTCCTTACAGTTTCAGAAGCTTCAGAAATAATATGACACAAAGTGCATATTCAGTGACTGTAAAGATCAGATGCTAAAGGTGGCTACAATGTAGCTCTTATTTATATTTTTATATTTTTATTTTTCGTCTACTAAGCCCTCATCCTCAACATTTCCAGTATGGTTTGACAGAAGATGACTTAAAATTGGATGGAAATTATGTCATGCGAGATGTTGCGTTAGTCTAAAAATCTTGACATTTTTGCTTAAGGAGATTTTAAAAACTTGCTGTACAGCTCATCTGCCATTTTTTGAATTCTTAATTATTAAGTTTTCAAACAAGTCAAATCTTTATCTAGTTGTATATATTATTTAAGATATACTAGCATCTGGTCCCAAATTTATATTGGGTATTGATCACTCCTCTCTTATCTGACTTGCTTTTGCATTTCTGCTAATACTTGGTCATTGATTATGTTGGGAATCTCAAGGCAGTGAACTAGCTCAGCTTTGGGTGCAGCACTCAGTCTTCTGCTGCCCTGATGCATCTATACAATTCCTCTAAAAACATAATTTAAACCTCAGTTGTCATTGAGGTTTGTCTTGAATTACAGCTCCGTTCATGTCAGTGTATGGCACCTTGTCTCGTTCAGAAAAGGATCCTTCTGGTTTATTGTTGAACTAAAAATTTGCAGTGTTGTGAAGAAACACAGATGTGAGACAGATAGTGCTGGTTACTTTAGCTAGTAAGTATGAAGGATCAGGAATATTTCTAGACTACTTTTTTCCTTTATTTAAAAACTACATTAAGAATAACACTTCGCCAGCTGAATTTTCAGTTCTTGCTTCCTGAATTCACTTCTCTCCTTCTGAAAGATGAGAGTGTAGATGAATCTAGGAACTTTGTTTTCAAAGGCTCAGCGTCCCTAAGTCTTTATTTTCCTTGGCATGAGGACCCTTCAAGTGGGTTCAGTATGAAGCAGAATGACTTTCTTCTGCAGTGTAGTGGAAGTCTTGGCAAGCTGCTCGTGGTGTTCTTGGCTGTGTCTGCTGATAAAATAAAGCTTTTAAAAACATTTTTCTTTGAAGCTACCCGAGCTGGTTGCTTGCGTAGGCAAGAAACCTGTGTAAACAGGCAAGTTGTCAAATGTGGTGAGTAATTACATCAGTACTTTCTTGGTGATAATAAACAATGGGAAATACTAGTGATGAGGAGGCAGGAAAGGAATATCTCTTTCCTGGGCTAGTTAAATCACTAACTGGGTGAAAGTTTGGAGATTCTTCTCCCACATGCAGAATACATGACCAAAGAGTCACGGGACCAAGTACTGCTTACTGTCTTGTGTGTCATCAAACCTAATACATAGTTGAGGACATTCCCTGTCTGGCCATGTGGAAAGCATATCTTTTGTGGATATAGTAGCATGGCAAAAACAGTGCTTAGCGTTACAGACAGTGTGTCCATTAAAAGACTTTTGCTTGGAAGCGAATATGAAATGTCCAGAATTCTAGTTTTACCTGCTCTAATGATAATCAGTCTTTTAGAAGGCGGGAAGTAGGAAAGCTAACTTTGAGAAATAGCTGCAAGTTGCTTTAAGTGGGAATACCTGCAAACTGTTCTGAGAAGTGAAAAAAGACTTCAAAAAAATAACTATTTGTCAGAGCTACCTTTTTTTAAACACTTAAAATTTTGACAAGGTTCCATTTTATGTTTCCAACAACTGTGCTGTATCACGTTTTAATATTAAAACATTGGAATTTTGAGCCTTTTAGTATTGCAAGCAGGATTCAGCCAGTGGAGTATCAGAAGCCCTAGTTTCAATCTTACAAACTGACTAATGATTTTCCGTAGACTAATACTCTCCTGAGCTGCGTATCAGTTGCCTACGTTTATTCTTTTACTACATATAACAGGCCATTGACGTTTGACCAGTAGGGGGCAATAGGTATGTGCAGACATAGGTACAGTGCTCAGTAATTTTTGCTGGAATCACTTGGGTGTTTTGTGTTCGGGGGTTTTGTTTGTTTTTTTCCGGTGTTGTTGGTGGTGATGAGAGCAGACTTGTGGAGCCTGCTGTCCACTGGAAGCAGTGCAGCATTGCTTAATTAGAGTTCTCTGGACTTACCTCCTTCCTTTCTTGCCCTCCTCTACTTCAATATAGGTGACATTACAAATCCTCAGACTTAGCTCTTTGGAGGGCTATTAAAGATTTCTTGAATTGCAGAGAGTTAGGCAAATCCTAGACAAAGATGTTTGAAATATCTTGATTTGGAACAAATCTAGAATTCAAATATTGTTTGACAGACTTCAGATTTTTCTTGTCCTTAGAACTGCTAATTTGCAGCTTGAAATAGGCTTCTTCTCAAGACAGCATATGGACAAAAATGATACATATAACAATCTCATAACTACTAGTGAGTATTATCAGGCTTTCAAGTATTATCATTTATCTGAGGAATGCAATTTAGCCCTAATGATTTTATTCCTTCCTGATCTTATGCACTATCTTACCTCACAACTCTCCATGTTTCCTTTTTAGTCTGAAACTCAGAATAGCGGTGCAGCAGCCAGTCAAGAGCGTGCTCCACCTGTGCCCACTAGCACATCCATGAGTCCTCGGCAGCGCCGTGCCCAGCAGCAGAGTCAGAGACGGGCTCCGTCTTCAACTGACTTTAATCGGGTACAGCAGCCAAGAGCCAACATGAACCACACTGGATCGACTGTTCTGATTGTCCTTCTGACTTTTGCATTGGCAGCTCTTATATTTCGTAGAATATGTTTGGCTAATGAGTATGTTTTTGAGTTGTAAGGTTGTTTCTGTTGTAACAGCAGTGGCTTGAACGCTTCATTGAACGTTCTGTGTTGGGTATGACGTGAGAACTGTTTACAAAGGTTATTTTTTGTATTTACGCTTAAATCCTTATGAATGTTAATGTACCTACAGTTACATTACTTGTAAGCAAAGCAAAGTTGGACGTTTTAACTACCAGAAGTGTTAACTGAGTGCCAGCTAGATACTTGGAGAAACAGTGCAGAGGAATAGTAACATTAAGGCATGTGGGAGGCGATTCAACTGGAGTAATTTGTTAACTAGAAAAGGCAATTTCTAGAAAGTGGTTGATTCACTTTTTTGCGGAACATAATGCGATTAATCAAACCATCTAAGTTAGTACAGGATTTGACATTGGAGAAGGAATTCTAAAATGAAATGCTACTATGTGTTTGTGTCCAGTGAACTCGTAATTTAGAGAGGATACAGTTTGTAACCACTTTTATTTACCCTGACGCGCTACACATACACATTGGTTCTGATGCTGCTTTGTGTGTGTGAAAGGGGGGAAAGGAGTAAGGGAGGAAGGAAGGGGCCAGAAAACTACTTGCATTGTTTTGATTTTTATTTTTTGGAAGAAAGATTGGATAATCTTTTGCAAGATTTGAATGTCGTCGTCTTATACTCTCAATTGTATATCTTGGGTTTTTTTAAATTTGAAGATTATATAAAACATGTCTATTCTTGCAATAGTTATAAATATGTAATATAATTATTTACCCAGAGCTATTGTCTTTTAATTATACCAGAAATATACATAATGTGTCGAACTGAATGTTTCATATGTGGTTTTATTTACTAAAGAGAATTTAGACCTTATTATACTTAAACTCTCGTATATATGGATATGCTTAAGAGAAATATTTATTAAAACCTTGGTAATAATAAAGACTTTCAAGCCAGTCTTCGGTTATGTTTCAAGTATCAAATGGCCTTTTGTTTGGTTTTTTGTTTCTTTTTTTTTTTAGACCTAACATCAATATTTTACCCAGAGCCTTTCTGCATTATTAGTTTATTAAAAAAAAAACAAATAACTGGCAATATTAAAGAATGCTATGAAATCACATATACAAGCAACAGACCTATGTTTGTTAGTGTTTTGAGAGGGTTTGGCTGTGAATGTTTAAGTATTGCAGTGAAGTAGAAGAAACCAATGGCTGGGATTATTTTCCTCTTGTATTATTGATCAGATTTAAATGTATCCTGTCTTCTTTATTTCAAAGACAATGAAATTTAACTAACTTTAATTTTGTTGCTGTCAAACATGATATCACTGACATGTGACTCTCATCCTGTTTCTCAGGAAGTATTTATGAAACTACCTACAGCTTTTCTAAATTTTGTTAAATATAGTATGTATTAGTGTTTTGAAACAGCTACTTTAAAAATAAGGAAAGCCTCTTGTGTGTCTTAAGGAGGATGTGGAAATTAAAAACCAAAACCTGAATTCTTTTTTAGTATTTCTTGTGGGATTGTTGATAATCTTGTTTTCAGGTACAATGGAGCAAAGATCAAAAAACAGTTTTCTTAAGAAGTTCAGGTAAATGTAGTGTGTTCAGCAGTTACTTACACATTCTGCTGCAGAACAATTTTATGTCAATATGTTAACTGATGTATTTTTACCTAATTTGTATATTTATTACATTAGAAATAAAAAAAAAAACATTACAACTCCCACCAAAAAACCACACCAAAACCCAAAAAAACCTCTCCAGAGGTACTCTAAAATCAAAGTACTGTGTTGCCTAGTTGGTATGTTGCTTGAATACCTGTTCTGTTCAAGTATTGCAAACCTGGACTCACAGAAGAGAATTCTGAAAGAGGTCTGACCCAAAAGACAGCTTTTCCTGGTTTTGACCCCTTTCCTCTGAATGTGCTTTTCCTTTCCTAGAGACTCAGTGCTGTGCCAAGTAAACTTTTGCTCTCGTACCTGTGCCACAGCTGGTTATTAGTAAAGCAGCTAATTCTCCTGCAAAGAGGCTGTCAAGACAGCTCTTTGAATGGGCTATGAGAAAATAAGCTTCCCATGGTTTCTGAAAACAGCCTCTTCCTTGTGATTAAAGAAATAGCTGCTTTGTAGCTTTTCGTTTTTATTTCAGACTTTTAAAATAAAAATCAAAACTCCTGATTGTGCAAATTCCTGTTTGAAAAAATAAATATTAATGGTGACTTGATTTATGTAAAGAGTCTATTGCATGTATAGGTACTTTGGAGGTTACTGTGTTTTAATTTTCCTTTAAAAGTTAACAGTAAATAAAATCATCATTTTCAGAGGAAATAGCTATCTTCTGTCTTTAACAGCATAAGGACCCAGACTAAATTGGAAAATAAAATCTCAGCTGCTATAAAACCATCAAAATATGTACATTTTACAATTATATACGTCTCAAATGTGACACAGGCGGCTTCCAGTTGAAAAAGATGCCACGCGAAGGAACAGAAAATCTGGAAAGCCTAACGCGAAGGGACAGCCCGGTTTTACACGGTCTGGCAGAAGGATAGCGCTGTCCTGAGATTAGGGGATTGAGCAAAAAGCTGGCGTGCGGAATTGCGGGTTTTTATATAATGGCTTTAGTAAATATCCTTTAGGACCCAGCGGAACCGTTCGGTGAGGCAAACTTCACGAGTAATGGCCAATCGTTAAGCGGTGATGAGGGAAAAGCTTTGAGCGAGAAGCCCTTGGAAGCCTGTCCAGAGCATCACGTCGGGAAAGCAGCGTTTCCACCGCCGATCGCCAGCGAACGCCCGACGCCGGAATCAGGGTTGATTCAATGTTTAAACCTGGGAGGACTTGTACTGCAGGAGGTTACTGGAGCGCAGAGTGCCCGACTCCCGTTTCCAGCGAGATGCCTTATTTTGCAAAACTCCTGTTGTTAATCTTTTGCTTAGTTCTTCTTGTGGAAAGCAGAAAACACAGGAGGAGGAGGTGGACGAGCCAGCTCGAGGTGCAGAAGGCGAGGTAAGGGTTGGTAAAACACCTCTGTTCCTTTTACATACGTTTCTTTTAAATACGTGACTACATAGACATAAAAATCTGCCCTGTCAGTGTGGTTGTGTGTGCAAACAGCTTTACAGAAAATGTTTCTATAATAGTCTCTGATAGTATAATCATTAACTGTGAATGGACACAATTAATGCTAATGTTAATTAACTCTTAATGAGGCAGGTTATGCAGGTGAGTTGACCACTTCAGCATGGATCGTGGTAAAAATATTCTTAGCTGTATACGTGAATTACTGAGAGAATTCAGAGAAATTACAATTAATAGAGGTGTTCAAATCTGCGTGTTGTTCCGGCACCGTTTCAAGAGCAGGTTATTTCCCCTGCTTGCTGGAACGTCTGTGCTACTTATATTCACGTGAAATTGGGTGTTGTTTTCTAACAATTAGAGGTGGGAGGTGTCGGTTAGCATGTGTGGTATTAATTAATAACATACAAATCCCTGCAAGTTACCCAGGGATTGTAAAATTAAAAATACATTTTGAAGAAATACATGGAAACTTTAAAAAAATACATATTTTAAAGTCAAGCAAAGGCACAGGAAAGAGTTAAAGGTCTTAGTAAAGTTTATTAGATGTACTGTTGCTGAGATTTGACCGGAGGTTTACATTAGAAAAGATAATCTTCCAAACCTGTCAGACAGTCCGAAGTATGTTATCCTTTTTGTTGTAGTTATGTCATCCAGTGGCAATTGTATCTTACAAGATCGTTCATTGTTCTGAGGGCTCAAAAATAAAATTGGGTTAATCCATCTTATTAAATGGCTTCACTGTGGTTGTAACCCTTTAGCTTTTCATTTATTTTCATGGCTTTTTTGATTTAACAGTCAATGCTTTCTTTTTATAGGGAGTGTTGTTACTTGAATGTTTTACAAAGAAATGTTGTGATACATTTGAAAGCAAAGAATACCTAATATGCTCTCAGATTTGTGCCACTTACTGAAAAATACAGCAGCCTATGCTTTTAGTGACATAAATGTTATAAAGCTGAAACAGGTACGGCCTGAAATCCTCAAGCGAGCTGAAGTTTTGCCACTGATTTAGAATAGAATTCCCACAGAATCTCTGTTACTGAATGAGATCTTTCATTTAACTCTGAAAATTTTTCTAAGTCTGTGCTCTGGGAAACACAGAAGATCGACAGCAGCATTTTCTTGCAAATTATTCGCATGTAGTAGAGAGTATCTACTTTGAAGTAACAAAATAGTACGCATCTTCCTTTTAAAAGTGATTTTATCTAAAAGTGGTGCCATTCTCTGGGGTAGTAAGTTGTGTGAATATTTTGTACTTTATTTGAACAATGCAAAAATAAATTACAGTTTCTACAGTGCCATTGTTTTTGTGAAGTTGTGATAGAGTGGAAATAAAAGCACTGCTAAAATTATTTATGTAGATAAATTTACGGTAAAGAATGATACTATTTAGTTTCCTGTGAAATTATTATTTTAATGAACAATTTTCCAGCTAGGTAGAACCTGAGGACCTATATGTCTCTCATATAGATATTTTTTTTTTTTTTACATTTTCTATGCAAACAATGTACTTATTTAAAAACATACAAAGTTTAGGGGCTATTAAATGTGAATGATATTTTAAAGATAGAGATTTCTGCAATATTTTAAAAAAAGAAGTGTATGGAACAATGACACTGATATCTTAAATTTTCAGTTATATAGAAAAAAAATACAGTTGTCTCTAAAGCAGCGATGGATAATGGATTCTTCTAGTAAAAGGAAGTTAAAACCAGTTCCTATGCAGGTTTTCTAGTCATGTAAGAGAAATGAAAACAGTGTCCTTTTTAGTAACTGCATCATATTTTCTGCTTAATATTTCTCTCACTGACTTACCCTAAGAAATGTAAATGTATTTTACAGTAAATGTAATTTTACAGCAAACATATTAGCCAAGAAAATGGATTCCTATGTTTGATCAGTTTTGATATTTTGTGATACATCAGCCTGATCTTTATGCTGATTTCAAGAAGCTAACTTGGGTTGTGCGAGTGCAGAACAGCTTCAGTTCTGTAGTTCGTTACTTGGACGTTGTGTAGATGTTCTGTCTTG